ATGTGAGCCAAAAAACTCGTCGCGCGTCTTCCACGGAATTCTCGCACATGCTCGAGAACACTCGCGCATATTCACGAGAATTCCGCAGCTGCCGTCGGCGACGCCTGGCCGATCCGCGGGAAGTGGCGCGAAGGCAGGCGTAGTGTGACGTCAAACGTCGACGAAATACTACAGCCTCAAAGCGCAGTCGCGAGAAAGCTCGCGAATGGTCGAGCATTCTATGGTCGTGCACCGAGGCGAAATTGACGCTTCCGTTCTATTTCGTTCAGCCGTAATGTAAATTGAGCCTTATACAAATTATAAATATACTAAAGGATTTGTTTTGATAAATGCTTACTAAATTTACCTCTTCATTTCAATAAGAAAGAAGATACTCTAAGAAAGAAGAGCTCCCGCCCATTATTAAAAGCGAGGAAAAATATTCACTGTTTCTAAATAAATTAAAATTACATCTTATTAATAAATGCTATTACAATTTAAATGAATACTTTGATGACAAATAAAAATAATAACATTATAATAAATTTGAATAATAAATAAATGTTAATTATATACTATAGGGTTATGCTACTGTAGTAGCATTACAGTGGCATGACTTTATAGTATATAATCATATAATTATATGTATATCTATAATTATAATCTAATTAAATTCAAACTTTCAAGTGACATAATTCTACTCATAATAACGTATTTATTTATTATTATATGACATTTATTTTTTTATTTTATTATTTGATAAATAACAATTTTAATTAATAATTGAAACATCAGCCTACCTCTGCTGTTATTGTTATCCCTAATAAAGGGCTCATATGTGTAGCATTATTTTAAATTTAAGACATGTTTACCATATGAATGCAATAAATATATTGAGTATTGAGATATCCATAATATTAACCTTAGAGCTATATCCAAACTCATGGTACCACGATTTCGTTTAACCAAGATAAACGACTCTTTTATGGGGAACTGTATACGTTTTTACAATAAGATTCCGGAGCATATATTAAGATTATCATTTCCTAAGTTTAAAAACTACATTAAAAATATTTTGATTGAAAAGTCATATCACAAAATTGAAGACTCCGTGCTAGATAAAGCTGTATGGAAAGACGACATGGCTCCAGAATCCACACAAATTTGATTCAAAGTGTTATACCATAGCATTTAAGTTTATTTGAAAAGAGAAATCTGTAGAGTTTCTTGCTCGTTCTTCTCAGGGCAGTAGCTTAAATGTGACGTTTTCAAGTGTAAATTTATTTTACCGTGATATTACTTATGGAATACATGCTTCTTTGACTTTGACTTGACAATTTAACTTTAACTCGTGTCACTAACAGTAAAGATATTTTGACTGATTGCCTTGAAGTTGTTTGTTGAAATTTGTTTTTAATTTTTTATATATAAATAAGTGCGCATTTGACATCAATCTCACTACATAGGAAGCGACGTCGACGATGTAACATGTACACTTGTATAAAGCCTATTCACTCTCACCTTGAAAAGGCCCAAGTCATGGCGTTCGGGGAACAAGTCTGCAGGCAGGGAATTCCACTTCTTTGCCGTTCGCCGTATAAATCTTTGGAATATCCACAGCTTACGTCTAGTCCCACGATGATGGAATGCGGAAGGCGGAATTAAATCATTCAATTCCATCGCACACTCTCCGTGATATGTATATCTCCTGTAGAATACCGATATACTGGCAACCTCGCAACGGTGTTCAAGGCTCTTACAATACTAAATAATAAATAATATGGCGACGCTATAATAAAAAAATTTAAAGAAACCTTCGATAGCTCGTGGGGAGCTGCGGGATAGATGAGCTCGCAAGTAAAAGGAAAGGGAAGCCGTGCTACCACCAACCTAAAAGAAACAAAAGGACATAAGTCCGAAACGTAAACTTCGTCTTCTTTCCCACACTTCACTTGCGGCCATTCACCAATAGCGCCACCATGTAAATTATTGCGTACGCGGCTCAATGCCGGGCGGAGAAGCGGGATATTTAAATTAATAAAATATTTGCGATGCGGATGCGGATTTTTCAGTTCGAATGTAACGTCACACTTATTTTTAATTTTTACTGGCGATTTATGTGGCTTGGCGTAGCACGGATTAGGACGGGAAAGGTAAGGAGGTGCGAGCTCAGACAAACTATACCTGGCGTTACCAAGTATGGAAACTTTGATCTGATGCTGCACCCTGTTGACTAACCAATTCATCAACTATTCACAGTAGACTTATCATATTTAGCCTATGTAAATTGGTCTTGACCTTTTGGAGTAGGTACACTCTTCAATGTCAGGAGCTATTGGAATAAAATTTTATTTTCTTTTTGCTTCGCAGTTACTCAGTTAAAGGCGAAATGTTGAACATGCGTGGGTACAAAGTTCTAACATATCTTTTAACTACTTTGACAGTTTCTGTGACACTGTATTTTGCTTTGCCCTGCAAAAACTTGCTTTTGACAATTCAAAAACAGGGCCCTTGACATTCTTCAAGAACAAGTTTATAGAAATTAATCTTGATCTATCATATTATTTAAAATAAATGTTGTAAACGATAAACGTATACAAATGTTTATTTACATAGAGCAGACTTAGAATTTCTTAGTAATTCTTCTCAATGGTATCTGCCTTATGAATGAATAGTACAGTTTAATCATTGTCACGATCCCAAGTTTAATTTGCTTATCTATGAAATAAAGATTTCATAGATAACACCGCGCTCGGTGTGTTGTCGTCCTTGTAAATATAATGTACTGCATAATAAATAGCAGACGTGCTGATTGTTGTGTTTGTGGGTGTTTCAACAGGAGTGCCTCAAATTCAGAATTGTTCAGCGTTTGGATCATATCATTATCTTACAGGTCACGATTTGCAATTATTGATTTGAATTACATTCGTGCACGGAACATCATTATATCATAGATAGGCGGAACGATTTTTTTTTATAACATTACGGGACGAACAAGTCTTGCATCATGGTCAGCTATACGTTTGTCCGTAACAGCTGCAGTACCATTCAGAGCTTTAAATCGCAAAGATCTGAGGGGCACTGCCACTGCACCAGTTACCCTGAGACATAAGTTGACAAGTCTCACGTGCCTGTAATTTCACCAGCAGAACCGGAACACTGTAATGCTGACATTACTGCTTGGCGGCAGAAATAGATAAGGTGGCAGTACTTCCCTGGACGAACTCTTGAAATGGAATGACGTTTTTTGCAACCATGGTACAAAATAGTTGTTACATGAAATTTTAGAATCACGTGGACCCTGAATGGGCACAACAAAATATACTTAAATCTAGTTAGCCTTATATAATACGAGCCCTGTACCCGGGCTTGGCCTGCAGCGCGTGGTTGGTCTTAGATTACAAAGTGTGCTTACGCTCTTCGGTGGCACAGCGGTTAGTGCTATGGGCGCTTGGTGAGAAGGTTCCGGGTTCGACTCCCGATTTGAGCCAATTTAGGAAACGAACATTTCGAAGTCGAGTCTGGTCCCTTCTTACTTAAGTACTTCCCTGGACGAACTCTTTCACCAGGAGCTCTACTGCTACTATTAAAATCACGCACCACGTTTATTCATAGCGCTTGACCTCCGGCCTTGGCGCCCGCTTCCCCGCGAGTACCCCGCCATTACTCTGCGCTGTGTTATATGCAATGAAATATTATTTGCACTGATTCGTCATATGCTAATTAACACGAGTACAATAGGACAAAAGAGTGAGCCGTCTGTGTAACGCGCGTGGCAAGTTAGCCTGGTGATTAGTCATACAGGGATATAACCCTAGTACTGACACCAGACTCTCACAATGTCCTTAACAGTACAAAACTCTGTTAGTCTTAAGTAAGCCTTGTGAGAGTAATAAATTATCATTCATTCATTATCATTCATTCATTCATTCAAGTATGTATTGCAAACAACTATAAAGTTTTGCTACTTTATATACCACATAACTTGGATAAAAATAAATTACACTTAAAAATACCAAGATGAAAATTGAAGTACTACGAAAGTCCTTGCAAATAACATCATTAAACTTGCAAATATTTTATTTTTATTGAATATATCATCTATTTTAACCAACTTCGCAAAAAGGGGAGGTTCATTTTTGGCATTTTTGGAGGCATTTGTGAATCGATTTTAATGATGCTTTTTTGTTGGAGTACCGAGTATTGCCCCCCCCCCCTAAATATTCCATCTGTGAGGGTGGCAAAATAAGGGATGAAATTTCGCGCACTTTCCAGTAACTGATTTCAATAAAACTTGGCAAATAAATTAACTCCAAGACCTTTTGATGTCGGTTTTTTATAAAAAAGTTATAATTATTTGTGAAAATATTCTACTGTAACACCACGTACAAGAAATATTAGTAACTTCACCTTGCCGCTAGATGGCGTTGGTATCAAAATAGAACGCTATCGAACTGTTCAATAAATTACCACATACGCTGTTAAAGAAAATTGCTTTGTATCGACGCCACCAGCTCGCCCTTTTCTTCCGGTGGTGCAGTCAAGGCCATCAGCGGCCAACTGCAAAGTGTCCTTAAAAAAAATGCTTTGTATCGAAACATAGGGCCTTAAGTGGCATTCCAGTACTTCCACCGGGTGGAATACTTGGATGAAAACTCATAGAATTGTCGTTCTTGATCGGCGGCTGTGGGACGGAGATCTCCTACGTCGATCATACAACTACGTCGGTAAAAGCCGTTGCCGTCATCTGGAGATTCAAGCGTCTTCCTCCTCCTCGCTTCGCCCACCTATTACACTACTTTATTATTACGGATACAAAGATGAAGAAATATAAAGAGAAATCCCTTCGATCCTACTTTGTGTCAAGTCGGACCAGCGTCTGTCGCCTCAACGTGTCTACCGCTCTGCCAACCGCGATCGAACCTGCAGTTTTTTCGCATTTGTCTGCCCAGTTGGATCGAAGGAATTTTTCTTATTGTTTGTTCGATCTTTTATCAATGAAATATAACAAATAAAGTTGTTTATTCTGAATCACTGCTACTATTTGCTGAAGAATTGTCAGAGCCCAAATTTATTATTAAAGGTGAATGAGTCCGTAATCTGGAATACTTGTTTTCTAAGCTGCGCACGTGTTCACAACTTGTTCTCCAGTGATGGTTTGTAGCTGTTATACCATTTTTCAAAATTTGTGTTACGTTATCCGAAAAATTTGGCTGATTATTCCGTACATATTCTTTTAACAAACCCCATAATAATTCACAGGGATTAAATATGCAATAATATGGCGGTAGTCGTAGAATTTGATGGCCCTTAGAAGTTGCCAATTCGTCAATAAAGAAACGTTTTTCAAAATTATTCTCTTTCATAAGATCTAATAATATTTTTTTTGTGCTACGAGATGGTACATCTATGTAGTGGTCACGTAAAAAACGTACGATTTTGTCTTTTCTCGTACCTGTATTTGGAATTTTTTCAATCTGCCTCCTATGGTATGTAGCATTATCTAAAACGATCACACTATTTGGCGGAATATTTGGGATAAGTTGATATTCAAACCAAGTTTCAAATAATTTGGCATCCATATCCTGGTGATAATCTGCACTACAGTTTTTAATGTTCCTGGCAGATAATAGAAGTGCATTTTCTATCCATCCACTTTCAGTACCAGCATGGAGAATTATTATTCGATTATTACTAGAGACAGGTGTGTCTAAGGAACAATTTGATGGGCAATCATAAAAACCCCTTTTCACAACATCATGTGTGTCGTACCACGTTTCATCGAGATATACAATAGATTTACTTTGTCTTCTATACTCGCGCATTCTCGCTAAATACTCATCTCGAAGTTGTATTAGTCTAGATGATGCCATTATCACTCTCCGCTTATCCAGTGTACCATATTTGAAGCCAATGGAACGCAAATAGTTTAATAAATGTCTGGAACTGTACGGAAACATTGGTTCGTCTTTGTTTATTTCCTTGAAGAGCATATCGGCTGTCGGTACAACATTATTTTCATAAAAGTCGTGTATTTTGCGCACCATTACATCTGCAGTGAAATTATCGACTTTTCTAAATCTCTCTTTGGTCCTCTTTTCAGCTTTAACCGTTCCTCTACGTACAATTCTTTTAACTGTGTCAATAGAAACTTTTGTTAACTCTGAAGTTCGCTTCATTGCTCCATATAGTCCAATTTCACTCCTAATAGCACTATACACGTTTAGAACAATTTGTTGCGCTTGTGTATTGTAATGCTTATAACAAAGCGTGTTTACTTTTCTATCAACTTGAGCATCTTCCTTGCGAACTGGAGCGTCTTCTCTTTGACCTGTAACGTCTTCTCTTTGCTCAACGCCTTCCCATGGTCGAAACATTTTTACGCACAGGCACTCTTGATAATCTTTATATGGAATTAACTTTACTGAGTTAGTAAGAAAAGTGATAGTAATTTACGAAACACCTACAAAATTCTATTTAAAAAGACGTCCTAAATAAATAGTTGAACTAGAATTCGTAAAGAGCGTTTTGCGCACGCGCACTTGTTACCCGCACGTCAAGATCATGAAGTTCATGTGCGCTTTAAGAAAAAGAGGTGTTAATGGTTTTATTACCCTATTGTAATAGAAAAGATAAGCGGTTCCAAGCGATAACATTCATCGGTGCAAATAATAGTTGTTCAACTATACATTCGTTGCGTAAAGTGTTGTTTGAAAAACTATGGTAGTAATGTTTTACCAATTTGATGATTTCGGTATAATTTGCTTAGGTACCTATGAGATGAAAATAATTGTAGATTAAATTTTTATTGAATTGATATTCAATTATTTTTTGTGAAATTACTCCACTAGTTTGATAAAACTATTAATACAAAGATCGAACACTCAGAAAAAATTCCTTCGATCCGGCCGGATTCGAACCGACGTCTTCTAGCTTACCGTGCCAGACGCTATACCCACTACGCCACGGAACGCACCAGCGGACCTCATGACTTTTTCTATGTACTTGCGTCGTGTATTTGGTGGCTCAAGGACTTTTTAATCGTAGCGCCGTCTATGAGAAATCTATAAAAGATTTATCACCCAGTTAGTACCTTTACAGCTACCAGAACTGGCGAGAGATGTCGCTATTCGCTGTATTTTAAATTTTTATTGAATTGATATTCAATTATTTTTGTGAAATTACTCCACTAGTTTCTTATAATTAGTAATACAAAGATCGAACACTCAGAAAAAAATCACAAAAAATAATTGAATATCAAATGGATATTGCTAACCATAACGGTAGCGATATCCATTTGTGCAGTAGGAATACCGCTTTCCCAATCGGCCCACAGCGGTAGCGAATACTCGCTAATATATGTATAGACCTTTACATTACTTCATATAATATTTACGAATATTTGATGTTTAACATAGTGATTTTTGTCACATGATTTTAGAGACATAAAGGCACTTTGGTTTCTTGATGTAGAACGAGGTCAACGCAGTTTGATTAACGTCATGTATTTTAAGAAGATGAGGTTTTGTACTGAACAATTGTACAACTTGTGTGAACTCGGTGAGAAAATTGTATATTACCAGCATAGTATTAAAAAACATAAAACTTTAGCATATGATCATAGTATCAGACAGAAAAGAAGGCAAGACCTTGTAATACCAATTCCGAGTACCAACACTGTATTTGCAGATAGGCAATTCGACAAACGAGCGGCCAACATATACAACACTTTGAATAAGGAAATAAAAATCAACAGCAAATTGTACTACGAATATAAAAAGCTTATAACGAAATGGATTGCGATGAAAATATATGAAGAACTTGAGGCTCTGCTTAATAACCACTCTAAGGGTCGTATTCTAGAACTCTACTCAATGCTCAAGTCAGGATTGCAATTGAAACACAAGCACTGGAAATACGACCCTAATGGCAGGGACTTGAGTATGATTTCGAGTGCTTTAAACCATACTCAAATCCTGACTTGAGCATTGAGTAGAGTTCTAGAATACCACCCTAAGAGTGGTTAGAGTTGGAGGATTTGAGTATGGTTTACAAGTCCCTGCCATTAGGGTCGTATTTCCAGTGCTTGTGTTTCCAGTGCAATCCTGACTTGAGCATTAAGTAGAGTTCTAGAATACGACCCTTAAATGCCCGTACACATACACATACACACAGGCACGCACGCACACACAATAATTTTGAACATATTTTTGTAATCTTGAACGATGTAATGAGAAATGTGTTTTGAATCATTAGTTGGTTTATGTATTTGATATGTGTAGCGAATGAAGAGCGATGCCTCCTGACACAGGCTATGCTTAATAGGAGGCTCCAGCCACTATTGTTTAAGAAACCATGTTTTTAAGATACAAAGATTTTATTTATTTATTTATTACTTTGACTGTTCTTTATCAAAGTGCTGTCACTGTGTCAAGTGTTCTTTTTGTAGTATTTGTGATTATGCGACTTCAAGACATTCCAGCTATACCAAAGGTTATACTTTGTTCAACCATTTATTTTTCTTTTATTTTACAATATTTACATATGCCTATGAAATTTTTTTATTATTGACAGACACCAGTGATAAAAAAAGTGTAATACTTCATGGGCCCCGTTTTTTTCTTTACTATAGTAAAGCAACGTACTTCTTTAGCTTCGATATTTATCGAGCCGACAGATTACATATTACGAAGATTATTCAAATTGATTTCTCTGTTTTATACGTATTGGTAATTATCTAATGAATTCCTTCTGAAAGTGTTCGTCCAGGGAGATGCTGCTACTGTATCAATTTTTGCCGCCAAGCAGTATTGTGAGCATTGTGGGGTTTCGGTTTTGAAGGGTTAAGGGTGCTGGTGAAATTACAGGCGCTGCAATAATTATGGACAGGAGTGTCGCTTGTATCAAGTATATAACCAGAAATAGATACGGAATGTAATTTAATTTATTTGAAAACTATTCTGCCATATCATTAGACTGCACTTCAAGAGACTTGGATCTTACTGCATGGTATATCGTACTTAGGAAGCATTGATAGCGATTTTGCTTATACTGGTAAGTCGGCAGTCGACACATCTGCAGGAATCTTAAAGGGAAGACCGTTTGGAGGAGTCGCCTTGCTATGAAGAAAATCTTTGTTTACGTCGGTGTCAGTGATATCGTGTGAAAGTGATCGCTTAACCGGTATTAAGTTATTATTAGATGATCGTGCTATTGTGATTTTCTCAGTCTATATGCCCACTGACTCTGCGGACAATCTTATTGAGTTTACAAATTGTTTAAGTGAGTTAATCGCTATAATTGACAGTGTAGGGGTGGAATCTGTTTTTATAATGGGGGATTTTAATGCACATCCTGGAGAACGCTTTACAAAAGAGCTTCTAAGTGTGTGCTCGGAACAATCTTGGTCCTGCGTGGACATTGATTTGCTACCAACAGACACACACTCATTTAGGAGTTCGGCAAATGGTGCTCTTCGCTGGTTGGATCACTGTGTAGTGACTAATGCGGTGCGCAACTTAGTAGTCAAGGCAGCCGTATTTTATGGTGTTTATAACTCTGATCACATGCCTCTTTTTATTGAGTGTAATATTAGCCTAATTCAACCAAAAATCAGTACTCAATCTGTCTCACGGAATGGGATAATTTGGGGGGAAAGGTACTGTAATCAAATTAAGGAGTACTTTAATTACTGTAATTCTAAGTTAAGATTAATAGACTTTCCTGCTGATTTTCAGTTTTGTAGTGATGGTTTGTGTTCTAACATTGGTCACCGCCTCGTATTAGATTCTATGTATCGTAATATAGTGAACATTCTTACTTGGGGGGCTGAGCGTACTCATATAGATGGGGCTAAGAGGTACCGGAGAGGAAAACATATTATTGGATGGAATAAACATGTACGAGAGGCTCATATGGAGGGTCGACGCTGTTATCAAACGTGGTTATTGTCTGGTAAACCTAATTGTGGTATTATTTATAGAGATATGTGTTATTCTAGAAAGTTATTTAAATCTAAGTTGAAATTTTGTCAGGATAACCAACAGCAAATGAAAATGGATATAATAGCACAAAACCACTCTAAAAAAGATTTTAAGAAATTTTGGAAAGCTTCAAATAATCTTATTCCAAAGCCTAGTCGCCCTGTTAGTATTGCGGGCTTACACGAGCCGGTGGACATTGCTGAGGCTTTTCTGCAATATTTTAAGGTTGAGCCTTCGTTAACAAGTGCGGGGCGGGTCTTTGACGAGAAGGCCGTAGATGCTATTGGCCTCTCCTTGAGATTTTCAGCTAAAGAGGTGGCCTCTTTCTGGATCACTAAGATCCAGAAAATGACGAAGGGTAAATCCCCTGGGCGCGACGGTCTTAGCGTCGAGCACTTGAAACGTGCTGGAGTACATCTTCCACGGGTGCTCTCCTTGTTTTTTAATCTGTGTTTGTGCCATAGTTACTTGTCCAGTGAACTAATGCAAACAGTGGTGGTACCTATAATTAAAAATAAAACGGGCGACGCTGCTGACATGTCCAATTACAGGCCGATTTCACTGGCCACTATCATCGCCAGGGTGCTGGACAGTCTGCTTGACAAACATCTTGCCAAAAACTCTACAATATCAGATAATCAGTTTGGTTTTACACCTGGACTTTCCATTGAGAGTGCAATTCTATCTCTCAAACAGACTGTTCAGTACTATACATCTAGAAAAACACCAATATTTGCCTGCTTTCTGGATCTGTCAAAGGCATTCGATCTAGTACGTATATGTTATGACATCCTGTGGCAAAAGCTTCAGCAAGAAACCACCGTTGCTCCTGAAGTCGTTTCATTATTTAAATATTGGTACAGTAGTCAGAAGAATAGTGTCAGATGGGACGATTGTTACTCTGATGTGTACACATTAGAGTGCGGAGTGAGGCAAGGTGGTCTGAGTTCGCCTCGCCTCTTTAATATTTATGTGAACCACCTAATGGATGAGCTAAGAAGCACAATGGTGGGCTGTCATATATAGAGATATATAGATGGTGTTTGCATCAATAATATAAGTTATGCCGACAACATGGTGCTGCTGAGTCCATCAATGGGTGGTCTAAAGAAGTACTAAACAAGTAAAAATTACATTATTTAATGCCTACTGTCAAGTGCTGTACACGTGCAGTCTGTGGGTCGCGTATTCGGGGCGGACATTCAGCGATTTGCGTGTTCAATATAATAACGCATTCAGGGTGCTGATGGGGTTTCCGTGGAGGTGTAGTGCATCGGGGATGTTTGCCGAGGCTCAGATGGACGGTTTCATGGCCATCATGAGGAAAAGGTGTGCATCTGCGCTAAGGCGCCTCCGTGATAGCTCCAACGGCATCCTGTGTGTGTTTAAAGATC